GCTGCAGTGGACACTTTTTCATTGTTTTTACCCCTCATCTGTAAAAGCTAATGGGGTGTTGTCATCAGCCATCTTTGTCCCATGCAGCAAACCCAGTTTTACTACAAAGTTTGCAACATTTGCAAGCTGCACACTTAATATCCTGTATTCTCCATAAATCATGTACAAACTCTTTTTTTAATTAAACAGCTCAGTGTTTGACGTTGACTTCAACACACCAGAGTTCTAATTATGAGGGTGTACATGGTGCTGGCTGTTTAACATGTGCCTTTATTTAGTCCTCTTTCCCAGGTGTTATGGGCAAGAGGACTAAATAAGAACACAGAGAGAGGGGATCCATGGAACGCCTATACTGGCATTGTGCAGCACCCTCGCATGCCTGTCAGCATTCATCTCCTCAGCGACAGGCTGACTTTCAGCTAGCTTCGTAAAGATCTCATTCAAAACCCTGACAGGACTCTACTTATGCAGGTCTTTCATCTCCAAGCTGACCAGCCAGGCCACTAATACCAATTCTGTCTCTCTCTGTATGTCATGAAAGTAAACATTATTCCACAGTGCTTGCTTTGGAAACCTTATATCTGAAATGTGGTAATTGGTAATAAAGTTTTTCATCTATTCCAAGTTTTATTGCTCAGCGTGTATGCTCTTATTTCTTTTAATTACCCTAATGTGCTTTCATTTGAGATTTAATTCATAATTTACATTTTGAGACAGCGCTGCTGTATAATCAGTTTAAATAATTCTAATTAATAAACATTTTGCAGACTTATTCCGCCAGGTGTCTGGTCCAGGAGGTTTAACAGACCAGCGTCACCTCAGCCTGCTGCTCCACGAAGCCATTCAGATCCCCCGCCAGTTGGGTGAAGTTGCTGCTTTTGGGGGCAGCAATGTGGAGCCAAGTGTCCGTAGCTGCTTCCGCATGGTGAGGACACGCTCGCACGCATGCACGCTCAAGCAAATCCAGAGAAAAGCAACAAAGCATGCACAGTTCGCTGATACACGAACATGTGTTGGAGGAGATGTGGATACATTCAAATTCTGCTGCTCTGCCCTTTGCGCGGATAATTTTTTGTTCATACCTCAACATATTCACGCACTGTAACATAAGTGCTAGTTTCAGTTTTTGAAACAGTACCTTAATTGCTACCGTGAGGAATTTGAAAGACACCTTGAAAACTTAATTGTAATGCAATTATTTTTTAAAACCACTTATTAATCTCCAGGAAAATAATTAAAGACCTCTAATTATTCAGAACGGAATTTGTCTGCACCAAACCGGCATTACAAATAGAGAAAAATGAATGCCAAAATTAAACATTTGCTGGTGGATGAGTTCCATAAAAACCCACATATAAAAATAAAACCGTGTCACGACTCACATCCGAAGCTGCCAGATTTGCAAAGTTGTGTTTTACTGACATTAGCACATTTTTAATTCCTACAAAGAAAAAAGATTCTCAGTGCACATCTATAGTAAGTAGACACATTGTTCTGGAAACGACACCAAACACATTATTACAGGGTCAGGGGCAGACAATACGTGATGTGACTAGCACATCGAGTAACGAGAAGATGCTTTGTGTCTTTTACATGTTCTAAATTTGTCTGAATTTGCATATGTGGTGTAGGTTTCAAGAGCTTTAAGGCATGACATTCAATTTGGGACCTCAGGTAATTACTGAGTTATTAGGAAGAGGACAGTTTTTGTTTTTTTTCCTGAATGATGGCCTTTTAATTCCCTCATTTTCAAAGCAGGTTCTAATTATACACGCTCTATTCTGGCCCATGCTTGCTGTATCAGCTACGGCTGACTAAAATCAGTTCCTTTCTCCACTTGCTCCATGCCAGGGCATTTAGTTGTAGCTAAAATATGAATTTAATGTGAATTTGGGGGTGACCCATTTGCCTGTTTACCACTCGACTTTGAAAGTGAGGTAGATCACTTTGTGGGGCATCACTTTTCGTATATAAACACAGGCTTCTACACAATAGAAGCGTTTGCTGAAGGTGTTACTTCATGTGTAAAGTTTTTGGGGAAAAACTCTTTCCGTAACAATTTTCATATCCTGCCAAAAGTGATGTACTGTAGAAGTCCATGTTGTTTAATTGCCACATTGTGAGGCGTTCTCGTGGATAACTGGATGTTTATCACTCTATTTTCCCCGCTGATATTTAAAGCATCCCATCTGCTGTGTGCCTCTTTGTGATGCAGCGGCATGCACAGCATAGTCAGCGCCAGTTCCAGGTGTTCGGTATGCAAGGGGCTGCTATTTGACCTCCCACATGGAGCAAAGCTGGCTACTAACAGAGAGAAGCTCCTTCATCCCCTGGAGACTCTACACCTCTGTACACCTCACAGTCTGTGTGATCAGTGCACATACACACACACATTTATTATGTTACCCTGCCTGAGCAGTGGAGGGAGCCCCAGGGAAATCAACCTCTTAATGCATCTCTGATGCAGACTTAATGAGAATTTAGCACATCATGGATTTTAAGCGCTTGGCGAGTCATTCTTTTATTAGGTTGACTTCCTTTTTATCCCACTTTCTGGAATTCCCAACAAGCTATCTGCTGGAGAGACAGAGAACCCACAAACATACATACAGTGTACACAGAAACGAAATGTATGTCTCTTTTAGTGTGGCTCTATAACTGTTTAGGTTGTTGCATAAAAGCGAAAGATATCTCAAAGCGGTTTACCTTTCCTTTCATGCTCTTTGTCCCGCTCTTATCTTTTCTATTCTCTTTGAGTCCTTATTTTCAGCAAAACAATACTCCTTGTGCGAGTAGGTTAGCAAAGGAAACATACTTTCTTCTTTAATTACTTTACATATCTCACTTGCTGCTGGTCTATATTTGGATTGTTTACAGTCTTCTGCGCTTCTTTCCTCCCCTAATCTTCCTTTTTCAGGCCCCAGGAAAACCTGCTATTGAGGTGTCTCACTTCCTGGAGTGGATGAGCCTTGAGCCGCAGTCCATGGTTTGGCTGCCTGTGCTTCACCGAGTGGCTGCTGCAGAGTCGACAAAGCACCAGGCCAAATGCTACGTCTGCAAACAATGTCCCATAAAGGGCTTCAGGTAGGCAAAGATGTGCAAAGATGTACTGCATAAAATGATAAATATGGATCTGAAGTGATATGGGCTAATTAAAAGGAAATCAAAATCAATCAGTCAACTGCAGCATAGCAATGAGAAACATACAGCGTATTCTATAAGACAAATAGTCAACCAACAATCCAAATAATAAGTAGAAAACATAAAGCAAAGACTCAAGAATGAACCTGGTTCTGCTAGAGCGCATCGTATCGACCACCCTATACATTATTTAGAAAGAGCTGTTTTTCAGCTGCCTATGAAAAACTAGGATATAAGCAGTAAACTGTGTGACGGCCCACCATCTACACTTCCTGCTTCTCGCTGTTTACTTCCAGCAGCAGCCTGGGTGGGTTGTCAGAGAAGTGGCTGCACCTGAGAAGTGGGAGTATCCAAGTGCTCTTTCAGTCTCTGGCTACGTTCACACTGCAGGTCTTAATGCTCAAATCCGATTTTTTTGTCTGCTCGTTCACACTACAAATAAAATGCGACAGCAAACGCGCTCTAGTGTGAACGCTCAAAGCGGCCCGCATGCGCGAAAAGAAGACATCACACACAACGCACTCTGTTCAGACCCAGAGCAAACTGTATTGTTTGACTGATGGCCCTTAATATAAAGACTTCGGACTTTACGTTTCCCAATTTTTGCTTCAAGTTATTTTGTTATTTACACAATAATGTAGATAACCTAATAATGATCCTTATTGCTGTTTTAGAGGAGCG